GTACGGTAAGACCGAATATTACATACCCTAGACCATTTCGCTTAATAAAGTTATTCAAATAATGACCTTTCACGTTAGGGCGTTCTATTTGGTAATGGCCGAAAAAATAATCTGATCCGAAGCACTTATCAAAATCATTTACCCTTCGGCCAAAGCACCTTACTGTGTCATATTTCTTCGGAATATATCGAAAACGTGCGACCTATAGGTTGAGCACAATAAAAAAACAAAAAGTAGGCAGATGGACAGACAAGCTTAGAATTCTATTTGTAAATCTATCGGTATAATATAAATGGTCGATCTATCTCAAGTTCTTCTACGAGTTGCACATATCCATGCAAACTTAATACATCCTTTTTCTACACGCAGCAAGTAGGGTGCAGAAATGCTTAAGATTATCTTCTCTTACTCTTTAAGAACCTGCAGAGTGCTTTGAATAAAGTGTACTTATGCATCGTGTTCAAGTGCAACTGAAAGCGTATAATTTAAAATTATTTACATCAAAGCAAAAAATTATCTTATTTGTCATTGATTTCAAACAGCTGTTCATCTCACGTCAAAATGTCTGTTACTTCAGTTTTAGTTAAGACAGGTTAATGCATGCTTGCCTAACCACCACTGACTTATATATCGGAATTGATTTAAGTAACAACAATAACAAAGTTTAGACAATGGAAACAAGAGAAATCTCTTGTAAGTGAGCGCACAGGAAACACGCTATAATAGGGGAAAAATTGCCTCTGTCTCAATGCTCGGGGCCAAAACGAAAGAAAAAAAAAAAAAAAAACATAATTTTTTCACTAAATCTTCCAACTCCATCCCTAGATGGGCCTCATCATCCTTGGGCCTCGACAGTCACCTTCAAAAACACAAAAGGCATGCATGCAAGGCTTCTAATAATCACCGTACGTACGGTTTGTTAGCCATTAAGTAATTATGTAAATTAATTAGTGACAACACACATACACGCAAAGCGATATCGATAGAAAATGCATGATTGGTTAGAATGCATTCAAAGAAAAACAACTAAGAAAATTATATTCGGTCGTGACCGAATCTTTTATACCCAGGACCGTGATCCTAACAAAAAAGAAATGAATTAAAAATTTGGTGGGTGCGGCAGATTTGTTCCATACTAAATGGATAAATGTGGAAATATATATATATATATATATATCGATCCATTCGACCGGTTTAGATCGTTTTCAAATTTAGAGAATGTTTACCACCTATTACGCGCTAATAACGCTAAAACAAAGTATTTGTAGTTTAAATGTACTTGTGTGTACGTCACGCGGTATGAAAGCGCATAAAATGGCTCCAACTGACCGAGCGTTGACGCAGTGCTAGATAAGTCTTTTCGCTTCCAGCAGCCCGAAAGCGAGGCTTCGTACATATACATTCATATTTATACGTTCTTTTGCTTAGGGTTCTGACTAGAGATAACTCTGTCCTTCCGTTCGTTTGTCCGTACCTTTGTCACCTGTTAAAACAAAGTTAAATTTTTTCCTTCTTTTAATAATCAATTACTCATGAAACTGACAGAGAGAGAGAGAAAAAGAGAAAGAGAGAGAGAGAGAGGGAGAGAGGGAGAAAGAGAGGTGGAAAGTAGCCGCAGCCTGGAATGTGTTTTGCCTAAGCGGTAAGTATTATGGCTTTACCGCCCAAATTTTCGCTGTAGCTACGACAACACTGGAAATTGAATTTGGTCTACATCGCACTTCATAACTGTTTGCTTATGCGGTAATGTTGGCCAAAAATCGACATTGAAAATGGCCCGAACCGGCCAAAATGTATCAAAACCGGAGAATTGTAGCTCATAAGAGCAACATTTCCTACAGCAAACAAATGAAATTAAAAGAAAACAAAAAATCCAATTTTTTACTTCTTGGGCTAAAACACTATTATGAATTAATTTTAATAAAAAAAACATATTAATAACTAAGCCTTTTGCCCAACAGTTTACTACGCACGAGATATCTTATAGGCAGTGCGATCACGGAATAGACCCATACAGTTGAAATTAGGTCCACGTCATTTTTTTATTTATTTACTATCATGAACACATTTTATATCCCTAAAAAAAACCAACAAGAAGGTTTTTTTTGGTATATAAGGGTCAATTTTCGTTTTCATGAGAATCCTTATATGCAATGATATCCAAACATAGGCCTACGTGGTCCAAATTGCTTTGTGAATTCAATATAATGAGGTAACTTTGACCATGAAATGAATTGAAAATCAGTCCTTTTACCATATAAGCTTCCAATTTCCGTAGGAACGGGTATATGACAGGGGAGTTCAATAAATTGCCCCGGCCAGTTCGAAATTTTCAAATCAATTTAGAATGCCAAAATACTAATATTTAGTCACTTTTGCCGAAAATTTGAAAATTTGAAATTTTTTCCCATATAACGTTCTGTTCCGAAAAGTCGGGAATGGTCGAATAAGTGAACCGATGCGAACCATTTTCAATAGCATTCAGCGTTGTGTCAAAACACGTCACTGTACGATATTTAATTCAAATATCTCAAAAATTGCGACCTCTAGCTTACACACAAATATACATGGACAGACATTAGACGGATTTTACAATTTCTATCAATTTAGACTATGACTCTGAAACGATCGATATAACAAAGGATGAGTCTATCTTAAGCGTGTTACATTTACGTTTTGCATACAAGCAGTATAGAGTATAAATAACCGCGATTCCGTAGACTGTGTTACAATTTAGAGAGCAAACATAACCTCGAAATTGATCTCATATACAGTTTCGATGTCTTTTGCCTATTGACCCATTATAATAGTAATTTCATCCAAAAAATAAGAATTGTCTTAGACAAGGTGGTGTATGGTATTTAGTGGTCGACCTTGTCTGACTATAATTTTCTTATTTGTTTTTTTTTAATATGAACATGTTGACATTTTCGCTTCCATACGAGAGACCTTATTCTATAAATACAAAATGACAAAATGTCAACATCGTTTTTATATCCGATATTTGAAGTCATATACTGCCGGTCCAAATTGATAAAGGCCTTGATTATGTCGATGTCAAATTAGTGCGAAGAATATCTTAGCACATTTAGCCATAAGTTTTCATTCTAAGTATTCTTTAGCGCAACTTTTCCCTGCATACGTATAAGGTATCTAAATATCAAAGATATCAGTAAGGATTGTGTCATGGAGTTAAGCATAACCAGAAACTAATTTACTTATGCTAGTGGATAGCATTATTTTCGAATAATCTCTCACTACTTCAGGGCAATTTCATTTGATTTGGTTTTGCGTTATTATAATTACAGTAAACTGCAGACGCAGTGGTATTCCTTTACTCAAATTCATTGTAAAAAAATTTATTGTTTTACAAGCTAGTTTAGCTTATTGTATATTATTATGCTTCTGTGGAAAAATTCCAATGAAAAAGTTTTTTACTTTTCTTCACAGACATTGTTAAATGCCTGTGAATTAATAATAAAATCTAAGTCTACCTAAAATAGTTTTCAAAAAACAAAAAAAAAAAAAAAAAAAAATTATTCAGTTAGAAGAATATGTTTGATTCAATCCATCTCTGTTCAACATACCAAAAAAAAAAAAAAAAAAGGTAATATTTTAAACTGCATCAAAGAGATGATAAGCAAGAAAATTATATTCAATTGCAGACGAATCCTTCATAACCACCTACCGCCATTAATATCCTAAAGCGAAAAAAAAAGAATATTTAAGAAGCTTAAGCGCAAGGAGAGAACGAAAAAGTGACATTTCGACAATAATACTGGACCGACATGATTGGCTTTTTCCATTTTTACAACCATCAGCGAAGAAAGGTTGATCATTATCAAATCCTCAATTGATTAAGCATGTCTGTCCGTCTGTCTAATATCTGTTTCAAACATTCTCCCGGCCGCAAAAATGAAACAAAGGATTTCAAATTTGGTAGAAACATTGCAAGTCCTTGCACGCAAGTTGATATTGATAATAGACCATATCGATCGAAAAAACATGCCTACAGTACCATGTGAACTGAGAAGACTTCTATTTTTTTTAAAAATGATTAAGATTTTGATGTTTGTTCATCACTTATAAGCTACAGAAGATAAATCTACATTAATTTTAATGTATATTCTATGGCAGATACCTATATATGGTACCCTATATAAAGAAGGGAAAAATTAACCACGCCTATCAAATGTTATAGTATAATAAAACTTTTTTCGCATAACGCATAGAAACAAATTCTTGGTCAATTTCAAGTTCGGAACGCACTTAAAGTTGTCCATCCGTTCGGTTGTTTATCTATCCTCTGGCCAACTAAGTAGTATCTGTGGTCAATATTCTCTCGTTCGCAAACAATGAAGATATCGCTTACAATGTGAACACTTTTGCTTTCCCTGCTTTCTGCTTCAAATCAACCCTGCCCATCCTATATTATAGGTTACGAAAATTTGCTTCTTTTTCTGCTTCTTGTTAACTTCTTTTTTATGAAAACGATGATAGGTATAAAAAATTCGATCACCATCGAAAAGCGTTTCTTACTGGTAGTATTATCAGATCATCATCGATTTCCATACATGGAAATTTGTATGATTGTCACTGTTGTGAAGAGATGTTCTCAGTTTACTTCTGTACCTTTTGGCCGTGACCTTTGGCCAAGTTGGTAATAAGTAGTTGATATATTAATAATAGTTATTGCAGGCAGGCACACAGGTGTACAGGCAGAAGGATAGGGGTTGACAGATCGATTCAGAATTTATTACATACCAAGAGTACATATATACCACAACTTTCTTCTGATTTCGATAGGTTTTGATTTAAGTATCATACTTTAACCCAAACTCAATCCACCGGCGATAGATATAAAAAGGCAGCAAAATTATCGACATAATCCGTAAATAATGTTTGTGATAAGAAAGATTTTTTCTAAGATATTAAGTATCGATGCTTAGGAGGTGAATATATATATATATATATATACTAGTCAATGGACGATCACTTACTTACAGTTAATGCCAAAAATCCCACATGGATTACTGCTGAAAAATTAAAAAAGTTCAATAACAAAAACAACAACAATAATAACAACAATAATAACAGCAACAAACGTGACTCCAGCTGACTCCAATAACAACTGATTGAGAAAAATTCTTTACAGACTAGAGCAGCAGAGACCGTACACACCGTTGCATATATATTTTAGTTTCGTTTCTTCTCAACCAGTTTCAAAAACAAAAAACAAAAAACAAAAAAAAAAAAATAACTAAAATCCTAAAAAAAAAAATCTAATTTCAAAAATTGTTTAGCTTTTCTTTATAATTCTTATTTATTTGTTTATTATTGTTTAAGTTTTTATTTTTCTAATTTTAATGAAAACCGTTCGCCATAAGCAAATGAAATTTCAATTCGAAATTCACTTTCTTTTATTATAACTAAATTAAAAATTGTACTCTTAAGTTTTATATATTTTTTTTATTACGTTTTAAAAACTTTTTTAAATCCTTTATTTATTTATTTATTTATTTTTCTTTTTTCTTTTAATTCTTGTGATTTTTGTTTTTTTTTTTTTTTTTTTTTTAATTCACTTTAATAGAAATATATTTCGGTACTTTATAGGCCGTTATAAAAGCACAATTCACAACAGCCAAGCTCAGCAATCATACAACCGAACATTTGAACGGATTAAATACAACTGAATTAAAGCACAAGACAGCGTATGAATGTTATTTGTTTGTTCAGTTGTATGGTGGGTTTTGCTAGCCGTTCTTCGTAAAGCACATAGATTCCAAACTGAATTTGCAGAGGTATATATATATATATATATATATATATATACATATTTGTGAGAGGCTCTTAGGCATAGGCTTACAAGTTTACAAACAGTATAAAATGTATTTTTTTTTTTTTTTTTTTTTTTTTTTTTTTTTTTCCTTACAGGTTTGCTTATAGTCGAACACCACACAAGCCTGACTTACTGCCACACTATTATCTGCCATTAATTTATTTATTTTTTTTTTTTGCTTTTCTTTTTGGCTATTGCTTTAAATTAATGTTGGTTTTGTTGTTTTTGTTTTTATTTTGTTTATAGCGCGCTGGCGTTGACAATGCAACAAATTTGTCATTTCCTAGTTGCACGGGTGGAAGCACAGCAGTAGAATAAAAAAACCCATTTTACGGCAAAGAAAAGCGAAAATCTTTTTTTAATTATTGTTAATAATAAGAATAATTAACGCTTAAACGAATACTATTCAATGCTCCTGAATATGCTGAAAGAGAAAATCTGATGATTGCGGTGAGATGTGTGAGAAATTTTAATCATATGGATATATTTAAGTATATGTTACACATACCGCATGGTGTACCGAGTACATTAACTTTATAATCCATCTAATTGGTGTGTGTGTATATAAGTTAAATTTGTGTATGCACGACAATCTTCACATCACAGCGAACGGATTAAATTGATTAGATTAGATATTTGTAACAAACACATAAATACGCATATATGGAGCTCCCATTATATTATACATTTTCGTGTAGAGCGGAATCAATCCAATCATATTTGCTAATCCGTCTCTCACTCTCTACCTCTCTACGAAATTCGAAATTTTATCGAGAAGAAAGAATTTCATTTCAGATTTTATTCGGAAGCCGACAACACTTGAGCTACAAGGATGTATTATGCTTGTGCAGATGTATATAATAGAAACAGAAGCACGTGAGATAGACTCGCCGTTTATAATATTATACTAACCGATTCAGAATTATTAAGCTTATCTGTCCCTCTGTCCGCCTATTTGATCAATTGATTTGATTGATAAGAAACAAGTTGAAAACACTATACTGTCACAAGGTGACCATAAGACACCCTACGCTTAATGTTGTTGTATTCTCATTCAAGTGATGAATGAGATGTGGTTGAATAAATGCTCCGACCCATAGCTTGAACATAAGACAACACAATCAGCCCAACCCAACCCAGACAAGCTTATAATCATTTTCTAAATCGATCCGTATTGTATAGTAAAAGATTAGTCTCGTAATATATCTGTGTACCGCAAGTGACGTAGGGTATAAAAATATTTATTTAACTAATGGCAAGAATTCATGCAATTACTGCAAAAACAAGTCTATTCTAGTGTTACAATAGTCCTCAACATAATAACTGTTATGCTTATGTGCCACAACAAGAATGTCAAACCTTAGCTGGCACAATCTATATTAAACTGTGTTATTTATACATATTTAGTATTAATTGATAGCTAATGAGAAAAATGGGTAAAGCAAGAAACATTTTACATCGAAGTCATTTTAGACGGAGTCTTTTTTTATATTCACGACAAACTTCTGTGCATAATGGTAGCGAGAATCTATTCATTTCATGCATTGTTCATATATCGAATTTTATATATCGTATATCGTACATTTTTAAATAATTTCACAAATATTTTTCAATAATTGTCGATTGTCCAAAGTTTTTCCGGTCGATATCTTGGTCTCTTGATTCACTCTACAAAAAAAGGAAAAGTTGCTCGGTTTTTTTTAAAAGACGGATGGGCGGGTTGATTAGCCAATTTCGCCGATTATGCCATCTAACCATCGTAGAATGATATAGAAAACTTGAAAAATCACATTTTACAATTCGGCTGATCGACTGATAGCTAATAGATATGATAAATCGTTTCCCTTATTCACGCTGTCCAATATTAAGACATCTATTAGGTTTGTAAACAAAGCTTTACAAATTGAAATTAGTTGCTTCACAGCATGTACGTGACGCATTTATTTTTTCCAAATTTTAACTATTTATATCTGAGATATTGGTTTTAGCACGGTATAAGTTTCCGTCCCTCACGGTACTGCATTTTACGTTGTTTACACCTTATATCATCTGTGGTACGGATGTATGTAGCACGCAAAAGAGCTTAAGATAGACCCACCCTTCATTATACCGATCGATTTAGAATAATAATCTAAATTAATCTAAGCCTGTTTTTTTCTGGCCGACTGATGTCTGTCCATGCACTTAATTTGTGTTCAACTTGCACGTCACTTGCACTTGTTTTTGAGCTATTGTGGTCAAACTTGATACACATATGTACTTTCGCCCATAAACGAATCCTATGGAAAATGGTGCGCCACGGTCCACTATTTCGACCACTTTTTAATCATTATATGGTGAAAATTGCAATTTTCATAATTCCCCGGCAAAAGTGATTAAGTAGAAGTATTTCGGCATTCGAAACTGCTATGAAAACTTTGAACCGGTTGGGGCAAATTTTGAGTGATTTAACATAAAAAATTAACTGTACCAAACTTGGACCATCTCGGTCTATTTCTTCGATTCTACTTTAATAATGATTTTCATGAAAATTGGTCGCAAAAGTCCAAGTCTTAATATATGGCGATGAAAATTGACTCATAAAAATAAGACTTGTTTTAGAGAATGTGGTGTGTAGGGGATTTAAACGTTGGCCTTGTCCAACTATAATGTTCTTTTACTTGTTTAAACTGTGAAAAAAGAAAGTGCAGCCGAAGTTATGGAAGCGACTAAGCTTAGGGTGTAAATCAGATAAATGACGAAACAGTTGGAAGGTGGCTTGCGAGATTCTCATCGTCTTGAAAACGATGAAAATCCGCAAAACTTCCCCCGCTTCCATGCGAAATCAGACTAAAAACTGAGCTGGGTACTTCTCTCTCAAATGCAGATTATTCCCCCGGCTTGCTTTCATTTAAATGCCACCGATTCAGATCGATGCGATCACATCAGTCTCCGTAAAAGCAAGAAAATCTTGAGAAAACCCGGAGCCTCCGAACAGTGAAGACCCGTTTTGTACTTCTTCAATATTATATCAAATATTCAAAACATATCGTGATTGCTCTTCATCGATAATCTAGACGTGACGAAAATATCATTTATGCGGCTTAGAAAAGGGTGAAAAAAAAAAAAAAACAAGAGAGAAAGACGAAAGCGTCAAGCTTAAGCGTGTCGGGTCATACTTTATTGTTAAACATTGTACGTGCTCCTATCAAACGTATATAATTGTTGTTGTGTCCCGTTTTTCACCACACGCGTTATGTTAAGTTTTGTTCAAACGTTTGCAACGTCAAGCGTTCCATAATGTAGAAAATTTGTTTTGCATCCAAGGTGTCCGCAGGCGCACAACATTTCATTTAGACGACTCAACTTTGCCTTAAATTGTCATTCGATCACATTCGAAAGCCAGTTTCGGCCAAAATTGCTTATTTTCGTAATGTTAGGACATGACAAGACCAAACATTTGCATGCAAGGCATCGAGGCAATCGTTAGTGAGCTTTGACTACTTGGCCGAATGCCAGCATTGCATGTTACATCCTTTTCTTCAAATCATATGTTTGCATTAAGCGACTCCACAACGCCACAGCGAATACATGTATGTCTGGTATGCAACAAGAGACCGGGTGGGGAACCGGTAAATTTTAAACATTGCAAGCCCGAAATTGTGTATGAGAAATTCTCGTGCATAGGATTGCAATAAAATGAACTTTAGAGAAGACCGGTTCAACTATAGAACGACCGACCCAGCAATCTGCCAGAGCCGTCCAATGTGTTGAACGATAGAATTTGCCGAACTGAAAAGTCCAAGCAAACATCGCATAAGCGCGTAATCTCTGAAGCAAATAGAAATGGGAGGCGCCTACGAAAAGATTCTATTTAATGGGTTACAGTTACGGTTTTCTCATTGCCTTTATTTTTATGGGAAATAATTAAGAGAATTTTCAACTAATTAAAGAAATTTATATTGTAACGAAAGCTTGACAGCTTTCTATAGCGTATGATAAGAGTCGACCTAAGCCTTTTGTAATGTAATTTCGATTTATATTTTTTTTTTTACGTTTTCTGCATTTTGTTTGTTTAACGAATAACTCACTTTCCCCCCACCGCCCATTTATTCATTTATTGGACGGAGGTAATCTTTGATTTTGTGTTTTTCAATTGAAAATTTCGACTTAATCGAAAGCCATTAAAATTAATTACATAAAAACATTAATTGTCGGTTATAATGGATTTTATTTGAAAATGATAGACTTTGATGATTAGAGACAGGAAAGACGGAAATGTTATAACAACGCAATGCGACACTTGTATATCTATAGTTTTCTATTTTGTTTATGTTGTCCGATATGTTATAAAATCAAGTGAAAAGCATAAATAAAATTATTGTTTTTAATTTAATGTTTTTTTTTTTTTTTCTTTTTTTTTTTTGAGACTTGTCATCACTCACTTGTAAACATAGATCGTCTACCTATTATGCAAGGAGATTTTTAACTTTTCTGGCCGTGGGCCGATCTAAGTGCCATTTAATCGCACAGATCTAAGCTGAACCTTACACTTTTAACTTCTTAAGGCAATGCGAATATTATGAATATATTTTTTACCTCTTAATACCTTCATCACTGTTTTGTGTATCGTACTTCAATTCAAAAGTATCCCATAAATGCATTTTAGCAGTGTATCATATATTTCACATTTCTTCCTTTTTGACGATTTAACCGTAGCTCGTCCAAATAACTATTCCAGTGATTATTCAATTTTTCCAAAAAAAAAATCAAATGAAATAAGACTCAAGCAATCCTTTAACCATATCATTTTCATTCTATTATGTAATACTAATGGAAAAATGCAGTTTATAGGAGGGGTGAAGAGATGAGACGAGCATAGGTTTGGTAAGTTTTCAAATCCAAATAAAAAAAATATTTTAAAATAAAAAAAAAAAAAAAAAAAAAATGACAAGTAAAACGTTATCAATTGCAATTTAGTTGAATCAAGTAAAGAACGAATGGGAGAAAAATAATTACTAAGTGACCACACTCCACATTGCAGCAGAAAATATTAAACACAACAACGCAATTTTACGTGTCTCGAAACTTATACAAGATTTGAATTTACCGCCAATTGCGCGGTAAAGTGTTGGCACCCAAAAACCAATGTAAACACTTTGACAGCTGACAGCTGACAGCTTAGGATTAGTAGAAATAGAGCATTACGCGAGAGAGCAACGCGTCTTCACTGTTCAACAATATTTCAAAAATAATGAAGATTTGGCGGCCACACTTCGCAAATTTCGTATATAATATCGTCAGAATATTGATTTCATTTCGTCAACTTTGACAAGAATATGCGGTTATTTCTAATTAAATATCTATGCCAACAAGCCCATAAACATCCGTGGCTTGAAGAAGAGAAAACTCAACAATGCATCAATGCAATTCTATCACATTTATGCAAAGTGATCATGGAAAATTTCGACAAAAGAGCGCGTGAAGTCTATTCGCCCGATATGCTATTCCAGACATAACCTTATCCTACATATCTTAAGATTGAATAGAAAAATTACAATTAAAATAATTAAGAAAATTATATTCGATCGTGACCGAATCCTTTATACCCATCACTATTATTTGAAAAAAGAAGACAAAAAAAAGGAAAAGAACTGATGACTATTCATACTCGACAATATGGGGTGGGTGTGGCTGATTTATTTCATTTGCAGAATAAAAGTTGATATTTATATGATGTATATGTTGCACATGGTGAGTAAGAACCAAAAGACGCGGTAAGCAAAAATGTTATCAGTTTTTGTTGTATAGGCATGTGAACGGTATAGGCGTGTCCATTGCCAGATTTGGTTTATTTGCAAATTCGTAGGCTATATCTCCATTCTTCTTCATCTTCAAATGGAAGAACATTTACCACAGATACTACATTGTTGGGCAGACAGACAGACAAACATAGGGGCACGCTTAGGTGCAGTCCTAATTTAAGACTGGCCATATACTTTATGGAGTTTTTTAAGTTTGGTTCTGCGCGTTAAAAAAATATTGCAAATGAAAATTAACTTTTTATACACTATAATATCGGATAGGTGTGATCAATTTCTCTCCTTTTATTCAGATATTCCAGCATTACCCCGAGAATGTACTTTTAAATTTTTGTAGATTTATTAGCTATTGTTTATGAGCAATTAACAAGGAGCTAATTTTTCATTCCTTTGGACAAATAGAGGGACGGATATTATACAGACGGACAGACATGCTTAATCGATTCAGAATTTAATATTGATCAAGGATATATACACTTTGTAGAGTCTCTGACGTTTCCTTTTGAACGTTGCAAATGTTTTGCCAAACGGGTATAAAAAAAGTAACTTGGTTTTTTATTTAATTCAAATCTTGCGTAAATTCTGGGACACCCCTTCTTAGGTAGCGGGAATGAATGTAAACTCAAATTTAAACTGCCCCAAATCGATGGAAAAACGCAAATGGAAACTAGTCCATTTTCTTTCGTACTTATCCACCCAAAACAGCTGGTAATAATTCATATAAGCAAATGCATCAATCTTCGTTTAGATAGCAATTTTCGCGTCTGTTCCATTCCATCATTGCACTTCTGTTTGGTGTTTAATAGCCCCCTCTATTAGTGTATGAAATTCCCTAAGCTTATGTTCAAAAACATGCGGTATGTGTCAAAACAATATTACGTTAACAGCCATTTGACTGATAAAATAATTTTAGTTTTCAACTTTTTCATTCTTCGCACAGTTCCAAACAATCCATTCATTTTTATATATATGAAAAATACAAACAATTAAGAGTATTTGAACAACCAACAAATTGATTTCAAAATCAAGAAAAAAAGAGCAAAAAAAAAGTATTTATTTAAACAATAAAAACTAAATTTACTAAAACTTGTTAACATAACTTATAAATATAATAAATGTGCATAAAATACAAAAGCAATTTGTTGCTGCATTAAGTTAGTAAACGGAATGATAGAGATGGGAAACTAGCAAAGTACTTGCGTTATCGATAACTAAAAGAAAAGAAGAATTTATGCAAAAAGCTCTAATAAGCAATATTTAGAAAAATAGATAATGCGTTCTAAAATTTATGAATAATAGAAAATAATAAATCTTCTAACATAAGTGCATTGTGACGGCATATGCAATTAAAAAGGAGAGAGAGAGAGAGAGAGAGAGAGAAAAGAAAAAGAAGAAAAAATGATATAAAAAACAGCGAATAGTGAAAGCCCATAACTAATCTACTTAAAATCGCAACAATTAAACAAATTAATAAGTTGCAGCTTACATTAAATCAAAAATTATAACAACAACAACAACCACCTGTCAATGCCATTTGTAAAGTATGCCGTTTATAGGGCATAAAATAAATAATTGATCCTTTGTGCGTTTTCTACTTGTTTTTTTTCGTTTGGTTTTTTTTTTTTTTAAATTTTTAACTTTAAATTTTTTTTTTTAACTTTTTTATATTCCTAGTGAAATCATTAACGCATATTAGTGATAATTGAATCTCAAAATTCAAAGCTTTTTATCTATTACTACGCTACTATACGCCCCTAATTTTTAATTAACATTAACGTAACGATGACTGCTCGTAATCCTCAAACATTAATGGCTTTACCTGCAGAAGAGAATTTTGATTTCTTATTCAAGATCGTATTAATCGGCGATGCTGGTACGGGAAAAACCTGCATAGTAGAACGTTTCAAAACGGGCAACTTCATTGAACGCCAAGGTAATACAATTGGTGTCGATTTTTCAATGAAAACGATTAACGTCGAAGGCAAATTAGTTAAAGTAAGTTTGGCTTTAATTCTTAAATATCTATGTTAAGTGTTATTCTAAAATAAATGCCATTTAAATAGTTGCAAATTTGGGATACGGCTGGTCAGGAACGTTTTCGCACTATAACGCAAAGTTATTATCGTTCTGCGAACGGTGTCATCATAGGTGAGTTATATAATAAGACGTTTACCATTGAATAAAAATACTTACTTTCATCTTGGGACGGGTCGTTGTTACCGGTAAACTCCTTGGTTTCTTTGCTTGATTCTATAAATTTGGAATCATACGCTGTTCCACGATATATTATATATATATGTATATATGGTGTGCTTCACTGATTGGTATAGTTTGACTTGTAAAAAGGTTATAAAAAATCACATATATTATATGAATATTATATGAATAATTGCTTAAATTGTTATTGCACCAAGCGTTAATAGTACATGATGGTCTTAATTGATTTGCTGTGTTTGCCATTTTTTTTGTATAATTATTATCAACTTAACCTACAATAATGACAATACAACAATTACTATGAAGTTCTAGTATAGCTACAAAATAATTTTTAATCCATTAAACTCAAGTGTAGGAGTATTTTCGGTCAATCAATCAATTGCGACAATGCAAGTAATATGACAGGCCACGTTTAACAATTCCAGAATCGCATGAATACTTAAGAAGTGCAATTTATTTAGAATACAATCTTCATTTCCGCGTGATAGGTTTTAATAAAAAACGAACCGTAAAGTGGTCGGTCAGGTATCAAGAAGATATAGAAAATTATGCAAGCATTGTACTCCAATTCAAGTAACATAGATAGATGTGTTAGTTTAATTGGTTTAGTTGTCTTTTTTTAAGGAAATCATTTCTCTTTCACGTTTCAGTTTACGATGTAACAAGACGTGATACCTTCGCAAATTTACAAAAGTGGATTGAAGAAGTGCGGCATTATACGGCCTCAAATGTTATGCTAATACTTGTGGGCAATAAATCAGATTTAGAAGAAGAACGTGAAGTAGATTTCGATGAAGCTCAACAAATGTGCCAGTATATACCTGAAGTACTATTTGTTATAGAAACCTCAGCCAAGGAGAATCTCAATGTTGATGATGCTTTTGTAACGCTAGCTACCGAACTGAAGAGACGTGTCGACAACAGCATACGCTTAGACGATAACGAAGAAGCTATTAAATTAGGGCAAAGTAAACCATTAAATAATTGTACAAATTCTTGTAATTTGACATAGAATTTAGAATTAATTTTTAAGTCTCGGTTTTGTATATTGAATTGTGATTTTTTGAACATTTTTTATTTAAATTAATTTATAGAATGTTTTTCTTTTTCGTCTTAATAATAGTACAAACAATTACAATTTACATTCAACAAAAACATTAAGAACAACTCAAGCATACAAGAATCTAACGAAAATGGCGATAAGACTAATTTTTGTAAAAAAAGAAAAAACGAAAAAAACAAAAAAAAAAAAAAATAAGAAAGGAAAAGCAAATATAGTAGATAAACCAAGTCAATTAATTTTTGTTAATTCAATTTTGTCACCGACATTACAGCAAAAAATAAGAGAAACTTTTACGCTGTAAATACGTAAACGTTTAAACAAATATTAATTAACAAACATAACATAATTAATAAAATGAAAAACGTCCTACTTCCCCTCCACTATTCTTTTTCTTTTTTTTTTTTTTGCTTTTATGTAAAAAAATTTAACAAACCATGTTTACTTGAAAAGGAAATAACTTTGTAAATTTTTAAAAATTTTCAATAAGGCAAGTGGGCAAAGGAATTTCATTATGAAACGTTCATAAAAGAAGAAAAAAAAAAAAGCATATTATTTTATTTAATCAATCTCTTGCCTTTGCAAATGAATATATATATATATTATAGACAAAAAGATAAAGATTATGAATTTTTTTAAGCTATTCAATTGTTGTTGCCCATTTCTAATGGCCCCCGAGATGGACGGTAAGCGAATTATTTAAGAGTGTCATACATTTAATTAATTAATCGATTTTACAATTTTATAGATGCGGAATACCACCCGCAGTACCGCAAAACCGGACCAAAAGAATGTGATCTACATCGGCCCTATAATCACGAAATGCCCGATTATACTAAGAATATTGGCAATTTAAAATCACAATTTCTAGCTGATATTTTGGATTATCCAGACTGTCATATCGAGATTTTGCCCTCACCGAAAAGACATGGAAAAACGCAACAGCTGATATCGAGCGCTTCTTCGGGCACTAAGGGCAAAAAAAAACTGCTAGATGTCAGCGATAGCGATAGTGAATATAAAAAGGATCAGCTAAGTCGCACGGTAGTGAATGATATTTTAGAAACAATTATTTATTAGGAGATGTATTTTCAGTACCGTTAATGATTACATTTTAATAAGTTTAGATTTTTATGTTTATCTTATTGTAAATATATACATGTGCATGTGTGCGTGTGTATATGGGAAAATTTATAAAAAAAAAAAAAAACTCAAATTTCTGTAATCTGCAAGTAGCCTAAATAAAACCCATCTTAATACGCTCTCCATGTGTTTTTCAAGCCGCTCAAGTCATTCAGTTAATAACGATATTAGCTTCTTTAGGCGAGATTCGGCCATTGCCGAATTGTAAATTCTAGCAAATAAAGGGAATTACCGTAGCATCCCATTCAAATAACTCGAAAATTGCGATTGATATGTTAAACATAAAAATACAAGAAACATTATTTCTTCTAACTTACAGGAAACCTTGTTTTGATAAAAAAATCGAACAAGCGTCCTAAGGATACGTTACAGTAATCTTTTTGCTTAACTACTAAGTTTTGTACATGGCCAAAGTAAACAAAAATTAGTAAATAATCGTAATCAAAAAACAAGAATATTATAGTCGGGCAACGCCGACCATTAAATACTCTACACCACATTGTTGAACACAATTCTAATTTTTGTATGAAATTACTGTTATGTGAGATGATGAAACACATTACAACTTAGACTTTTTTGCTTATTAGGTTAGGACCGAATCAATAGGCCGGGATAGTCCAAATTTTTATACAGTTAATTTTTTTCTATGTCAAATCACTATTATGATATAACTTGCATCATGAAGCATTGAAAACAATGCCTTTTTGTCGTATGAATTTCAGTTTTTGGTATATGTGAGGGGGGTTCAAAATTGCTACAGCCAGTATAAAGTTTTTATATCAATTTAGAATGCCGAAAAAATAATACTTACTACTCTTGCCTTGAAAAATGCAATTTTTTACCATATAATGACTTTGCAAAATGGGGCGATATATAGGAAGTGGTCGAAAAAGTGGAGCGATCCGAACCCTTGTCAATAGCGCACGTTACTGTATGAAGTTTGATTAAAATATCGTAAAAATTGCGACCTGTAGCCTGAACACAATTTTACATGGTAAGACATCAGACCGACAGGCAGGCTTAGATCAATTCAGATTATAATTCTAAACCGGTCGATATAATAAAAGGTCGGTCTTTCTTAAGTCCATCTGCGTTCCATCTGTACCTTGTACCACATGTTATGTAGGGAATAAAAAAATAATAATAATAATAATATTTAACCGAATGTAGAAATAAATTTAGCAGTTTGTGCATAAAGTGAACATATTTAGCACAATTGCTTAGTAGCAAACTATTCATATGTAAACAACATCACTGTTTCCTTTTTTTTTCAATAAATATGAACGTGCATTATGGCTGATTAACAAATTTCCCATTGGTTCAAGGTAAACGCCAATCACATGGTTTCTTGTAGTCACTGAATGAAAGTAAGAAAAATTGAAGTACAGGCTGCCATACAATTTACTATAATAGCGCGATCTTATTTGAGACCGATTTAAATGATTTTACTCGATTTCAGTTGTATTTACAGGCGTTGGCATTGCATTGCAATTCGTTGAGTAATTTCTACTGAAATTACGGGAATACAATACCAGTCTAATATATTACGTCCTTTTCGTAATTTCGTATATAATTGCATGTCACTGGTACCATCCCGACTGACCCATAAATCATTTAATACAATTTCAAAAATATAATTCTTTTAAACAGTTTATTCTTGATCACACAGTACATAGCCAAATAGCTAACATAATCACATAATTTTATGTAGAACATTTATTCGGGCATTTGATGATCATTTTCAGCGGCATTCGATATTGCTTTCGCTAATCTGACATCGCTTGTAAAGCTGAATTATAAACACCATGTTTTCCCCGCTCTAACTAGTACCAGTTGAAGAAAATTGATGCGCATTCTACGCCTGAGAAAAGAAAAACTAATATATGATTAAGTTAAATTTTTAATTATGTTAGTGCCTACTTTTAAAACCAGAAACGTCTTCAATCAAGTGCATTGATTATATTACGTTATATAATATATGAGTCGATTCGAACACGTGTTATAATCCATTAATCATATCGAACTTCATTTTGACGAGCACTGTAAATGAACGAAATATTATATCATATAGGCAGAATTTTTTGGAATAAGTAAAAAGTTATAAAATAAATAATTCAGTTGGTAGTGCACGATTAAGTTCTTCAATGCTAGTCAGTGATATATGTAGCTTGTCATCATTAGTGAACCTTAAATTTAATTTAGCGCACGTGGCGTACATGAACACTTACTCTAAACTGCGTTGATATTTCTCTCTGTATTTGAAGTTTTTACTGAATATCTGCGACGTTAACTGAAAATATATGGAGCAAAGTAAATGAAAAAGAATCAGTTAAACAAAGAAAATTCCAAAACATATTTTTCAAGTATAATTAACTTATTGATGAATTTAAGATCATCATTTTATGTTCATTAGCAATGTTTGGTAACCATTATTAGCATAGGATTAATTTTAGCGTGGCCACTTACCCAATATTTAGCAATTTATTTCTCTCCATTATCTATTTTATGAAGTAGTACAAAAACTATTCTTGGCTTATGTAAAAGTAAAATTAACTCTAACACGTGTAGGCAATGTTTTCTGATACGTCTACCATTGATATATCTATTTTCCGCTTAAGAGGCCATTGTTATTTTTTTACATCACATTTTATGAAAATCAGTCTCGATTAGTCTTGGTTTCTTCTTCTTATCTTCGATCGCTCTTTTAGCTATGTTAAATATATACCCTTATACATATTTCTCACCAATAATTACATCTCCGCTTACAAAGCGCTTTTAAATCTGTTATTTTACTCTCGAAAAGCAACTAAATAAATGTAGAAAGCGCTTAGATTTATATTCGTGTAGGCAATCGTTAAAAAGTGGTGAATTTTCTCTCTTTCCGGGTAAAGTAAACTTTTCAAAGAACAATGCCAGCAATACCATCACGGTACCAGGGTTGCCAAGTTACTCTGTCAGAGCAAACAAAATTTTAATTAGAAATGCCAACAATAGCTTAGCGGTGCCATGTAAAATCGTGTCTCCCCTTTGTAAAAGTTTGCGAATAGGGCTTCCTAAGTTAATTATGATTGCGTTAGGATTTGAATGTATTTCCTATTGGACGCAACCATAATATTAAAAATAGTACAATTATAACCCAGAAAATTATATAATATAATAATAATAATTATAATTATAACCCGAAAAAATCTCTCCCTAACTAATTAATTCTGGGGCTTACACCACTGTAGAAGTCTAACAAAATCGTTTTTCTTTTTTGTTTTTTAAATGAAAGAAACGGATCACAGAATAATAATGTTCGAATAGGTTAATAAGCATATATTCAATTATTAAAAAAAAAAAATATTGTTGAAAAATAGTAACAAATAATAGCACCAATGCCACTCGACCAATAACGCAAGTGGGCGAATTTATAAACCAAAAAAATTAGTAAATCTATACGCTAGCGAAGCACGTAGGGGATTTTAAGAATATTGATTTTTATATTATTAGAGAATATTTCAATATAAACACAAAATTTTCGTAAGTCACAAGTTTTCAAAACACAGTCCTCTTTAAAATGTTATTTTAAAAATATTTTTAAAATTGAAGTAAATGAAATACTGGCGTTATGTTAGTGTCGTTCGGGAGAAACGCATTTGGAGTGTATTATAGATATGCTCTTTATTACAATGAACTTTTTATTAATTTTTGCCATTACTTTACTAAGTCACAGTCATAAAAGTGCCCTCTCGTATTCAAATATTTTTTTCACATTTTTTGAAAGCTTTCTGCTAGATTATGTCACTTTTGCAGCACCTGGCAACGACAGAATCGCAAGTTTTACTTTTTAGATGTTGCGAAACAAGGAATAGAAAATAAAAATTGGGAAAAGTTTAGAAATCAGGAAGTGAAATAGTTTTTTGTTTCTAACTTTCCAGCAGAAAGTTTCTTCGTGCTGTTAGTCTTCTCATAATGTTTCGGAAAACAATCCAACCAGTTTCAAAGAAGAGAGTTTCTCCAGCTAATGAACTTTTTTGCTTATATTTGAAAAAGTTCAAAGCGTTTATTAAACTAAAAGAAAGAAAAACTGACAGTGAAGTAATCGCTTAAAGGGTTTTTAAATTAACAATTAATAATTTATGACAATTAAATATATACGTAATACGCTTATAGTTTTTACATATAAAAATTAATTATTTAAAATTTTCCACTAGAATTAAGTTGTATACTGTAAAATCTTTCCTGCGTCACTATATATAAAAATGACTTGGCAATCCTTTTTAATATTAAATATATAAAAATTCATACAGCATTTTCAAGTTTGAGGAAACATAAAAAAGATTAAAATTTTTTCAATAAAAAGGAAAAAGAAACGATTAAAACTTTAGTACACAAGAATTAAATTGTAATATATAAATAATAACAAAAAAGAATTTAAATTCAGAAAAACTATTAATTACGTTTGTATATTCTACTTTAGCACTTAGCCAATTGTAAGGCTATCAGTAAAGAGCAATGAGATTACTTTAGAAAATTGTGAAAGTAGGGACTTAGGGGGATTTAAGATAGTACAAAATGTCCTCCGTTAATAATAAGGTAACGACGATAGGAACAGGTAAGAGTTTTATTTGATATTTACATTTAACAGAGGAAAACAATTGGTAATATTTTATATCATACAGGTTCAATTAATCCCACTGCTCTGCTGACTAATATGTCTAATGCTATTGAAAAAAATAAACAATGGCAGCGTGAATTGCTGATGGAACGTATACGTTCCCATTCCTCACAACATAAAACGTTTCAAGAATTATCCAAAGCTATGCGTATGGGTATGTTAGAGAAACGTTACGCTTTAGATGCAGTAGAGAAATCTAACTTACAAAAGTGTTTGGATAGTATGCAGCATTGTATTAAAGTTACTTCACGTCAGGGGCTGGTAGAACGGCTTGAGAGCCTGTCGCGGCAATTGGGTTTAAAATTTATGGATGATACCAAAGTTCTATTTATATCAACTGATATGTTCTTTTTGGAAATAGTATTAGATGCGAATGGTGCATTGTCTGACGTAAAAGTGCATCATGAATGTAAAGTCGAACAACAATCATGCAGCGAACTGGTCGACTGTCTTAATCGTGGAGATTTTGCCGATTTTACTGCTCAACTAGAAGGCTTTTCTTCTATTTATCAGCTGAATGCTGAGCCTAAAGTCAAAACTAAGGCTTTCGATGCTATGCAGGCAGTAGAAAGTGATTTGTATAATCTTTTTCAAATGCAAAGTTTTTCAAAAGATACACAACAAGTTCTGAAAGATTCGATAGTGGGCATAGTACTTAAACGTCATGGGGGACATCCTATGCGTTTAGTATATTTTGTATCGCCTTACGACTTGATATCACTGGAGTCGAAGTCTTTACAATCTCTATCCTTGGATTTATTGCATAACAAACAAGTGGGTTTCAGTGTTACAGTGAATCTAGAAGCGTCATCGGCCAATAAATTGCAAATACTACCTACAGTCAGTTTTGCCAAGGAATCCCAGTCAGGCTTGGAAGTTCCAGTGTTTGCTCCTCTAAATCAAATGAATTCGATGCTTTTGCCAGCCACGTTTGTTTTAAGGCTTAATAAACCATTACCCGTTTGTTACAATACTTTAAGAGCGATGGGCTTGTGCGGTTCGCCCACTACTAGTCAGGCATCAGCAGCAGATATTAATAACTCTACAGTATTGGAAGGTCAACATAAAGCAACATTGCCGATGATATCCAATATCATGAGTCTCATTATATACACCGCTTCCGAACAACAACTTAAAAATTCCCAAAAAGGACTTTTTGTCTGCTTGCCAGATCAAACGCATTGTTATTTTTTTACCGAAAATAAATTGCTGAAGGTAAAGTTCACTGGTTTATGAAGATAAAGAAGTGATTCCTCTCGGCATTCATTACAGTTTTTTCTATTCACAGTCCACGTTAGTTCAGTCGATACCCTTTACTGAACCTTCCCAAGTCCCTAAGATTTTGGATTTTCTTAAAAGGCAAGCGCTATTTTATGCTTTACTCTCAAGCTGTGTACGCCCTCAATCGAAAATGGTCAATGGTCAGTTGAACGTTCCTGTTTCTTTTTTCATACTCTTAATTTTATTTTTCTTTACCAGTAGACATTGATTCTACGATCATTCTAGAAGTGAACGCAATTTCGTATCATCAAATTTCCGTAGCATTACAGCATCCGTATGAAGAGTCGATGGCGACGGTTGAGTTTGATTTGCATAATGGCAATGTTCAGTGCATTATTTACAGTTTGAGCAATAATTACGATTTGCTCTCGCTGAAATTAACAAATGTGGTACAAAAATGTTGTTCCATACCTGTAACTATTAGGGCTTTACTTCGGTACTGGGACCAGGAGAGAATAAAAAAATTTCAGCGTGGTATTGGAGCTGCGGCTGGTTCTACTGGAGCGAATACCAGTAATAATGGAAGCAATGCAGTTAGTAACAACAGTGCCTACGGAAATTTTAATATAGCTGGTGTTTCGAACGATCCGGGTGGTGGCGGCGGTGGTGTTGGTGGTGGTGGGGGCGGCTGTATGAATAGAGGACTTGGAGGGTCTGTAAAAATGGAGCAAGCATTACAGCAACGCTCTCAATTGGCGAGCACTACGACTGGTTACCTTAAATATAAATGTGGGGATATTAAACAAGAGGATTTTCATGAGAGCCCAAAGAGC